GGGAGACCAGATAGAGTGAATGCAGGGTCCAGGGAGACCAGATATAGGAAATGCAGAGTCTGGGGAACCAGATATAGTGAATGCAGGGTCCGGGGAGACCAGATATAGTGAATGCAGGGTCCGGGGAGACCAGATATAGTGAATGCAGGGTCCGGGGAGAGCAGATATAGTGAATGAAAGGTCCGGGGAGACCGGATATGGTGAATGCAGGGTCCTGGGAGACCAGATATAGTGAATTCAGACTCCAGGGAGACCAGATATAGTGAATGAAGGGCCCGGGGAGACAAGATAGAGTGAATTCAGAGTCCAGGGAGACCAGATATAGTGAATGCAGGGTCCGGGGAGACAAGATAGAGTAAATGCAGGGTGCGGGGAGACAGGATATGGTGAATACAGGGTCCAGGGAGACCGGATATAGTGAATGCAGGGTCCGGGGAGACAGGATATAGTGAATGCAGGGTCCGGGAGACCGGATATAGTGAATGCAGGGTCCGGGGAGACCGGATATAGTGAATGCAGGGTCCGGGGAGACCGGATATAGTGAATGCAGGGTCCGGGGAGACCGGATATAGTAAATGCAGGGTCTGGGGAGACCAGATATAGTGAATGCAGGGTCCAGGGAGACCGGATTTGGTGAATACAGGGTCCGGGGAGACCAGATATAGTGAATGCAGGGTCCAGGGAGACCGGATTTGGTGAATACAGGGTCCGGGGAGACCAGATATAGTGAATGCAGGGTCCTGGGAGACCAGATATAATGAATGCAGGGTCCAGGGGGACCAGATAGAGTGAATGCAGGGTCCGGGGTGCAGGGTCCGGGGAGACCGGATATGGTAAATGCAGGGTCCGGGGAGACCGGATATGGTGAATGCAGGGTCCGGGGAAACCAGATATAGTGAATGCAGGGTCCGGGGATGGAGACCAGATTATAGTGAATGCAGGGTCCAGGGAAACCATTTCCATTTGTTGCTCTGGTTTGAGCATTTAATCCCCCAGAGCTCCCCCTGGTGACTATTCCCACGGTACTGAAGAGGCTGCACCCATGTCCTTAAAGTGGACCTCCGTTTTTGAGAACATCTACCTAGACCGGGTGTCGGCAACCCGCGGCTCCGGAGCCGCATGCGGCTCTTTTTCACCTTTCCTGCAGCTCCGGAGCACACTGCCCACCAGGTGACAGGCAATAGGGTCGGCAAGCCGCGGCTCTTTTAATGCAGCTCTTCTATGTGCCGGGCGCCCGCTCCCCTCCCTCCTCCAAACATTGGCTGTCAGGATGTAGGCGGGGGGCAGCGTGACGAACTCCTCTCCTCTCACAGTCCGCCCTGAAGACCAGAACGGCGCGGGAACACAGCTAGAGGAACGCGCGGAGCAAAGGTAAGTGAATTGACACAATATGGGGAATGAATTACTATAGGGGGGATGAATTACTATGGGGGATGAATTACTATATGGGGGATGTATTACTATATGGGGGATAAAATTACTATATGGGGGATGAAAATACTATAGGGGGGATGAAATACTATAGGGGGGATGAAAAATACTATAGGGGGGATGAAATACTATAGGGGGGGGATGAATTACTATATGGGGGATGAATTACTATGGGGGATGTATTACTATATGGGGGATGAATTACTATGGGGGATGAATTAATTACTATATGGGGGATGAATTACTATGGGGGATGAATTACTATATGGGGGGGATGAATTACTATGGGGGATGAATTACCATGGGGGATGAATTACTATAGGGGGGATGAATTACTATATGGGGGATGAATTACTATAGGGGGGATGAATTGCTATATGGGGGATGAATTACTATATGGGGGATGAATTACTATGGGGGATGTATTACTATATGGGGGATGAATTACTATATGGGGGATGAATTAATTACTATATGGGGGGATGAATTACTATGGGGGATGAATTAATTACTATATGGGGGATGAATTACTATGGGGGATGAATTACTATATGGGGGATGAATTACTATGGGGGATGAATTACTATAGGGGGGATGAATTACTATATGGGGGATGAATTACTATATGGGGAATGAATTACTATAGGGGGGATGAATTACTATAGGGGGGATGAATTACTATATGGGGGATGAATTACTATATGGGGGATGAATTACTATAGGGGGGATGAATTGCTATATGGGGGATGAATTACTATGGGGGGATGAATTACTATATGGGGGATGAATTACTATGGGGGATGAATTACTATATGGGGGATGTATTTTCAGTTTTAAAAAAATGTTTCTCTCAAAATAAATTTCAATCGTGGTTTTGGCGAGATTTGGCTCAGTTGAAAAAAAAGGTTGCCCACCACTGACCTAAGGCTATGATTGTGATTATGAGGATACACTGTGGCCCTGGTTAACCCTTTGCTTACTGGGCCCTTAAACCCCCTTCATGACCAGAGCGCTTTTCGCAATATATGCAGTGTCGGATTTGTTTTAAATGTTGCAATGGTTTTGCGGCTCCCAGTCTTTTTTTCCCTCTCGGAAACGGGTCCAAGTGGCTCCTTATGTCTTAAAGGTTGCAGACCCCCTGACCTAGACGATGCCCATCCACCCTAGGCTGGCTCCAGTTGCATCCTGAAAAGGACCCCCTGGCAGACCTCCATTTTGCTGATACATTGCGCATTTTCTTTGCGCTTCCGGTGAGTGCGCATTTTATACATACCCTGCCCCTCACCGAGTTTTATTCGAACCACGACGGTGGGGATTAATATATCACCTTGAGCTCTTATATTGTGGACTCATTACCCATTTATGAACATTGCTACCAAAAATCTGTCCGAATATTTTTAGCGCTGCACTTTCTCTATATACATGTCTCTTGAAAGGTTTATGGTTTCCTTTACTGTGCTTAGCTGCTTTTATGAATATATTGTGAGCGCTCACTGAGTTTTTTCCTATATTCTATATTTTTTTTATATATTTTACACTAAAGTTTATTTTAGTGCAAACATATGCAGTATATCACCCAGTTGGTAAAATATAAAAGATGAGGTTGTGTCAAGTAAATAGATACAAAACATGTCAAAACGTAAAATTGCATGCACTTGTGAAAAAAACAACAAACTTCGTGTACACAGTTTTCCATAGTCGACGCATTGAAAGCCTTGACAGGTCATCTTTGTAGAGTCAACCATGAATAACGGGCCTAGAATTATTGCTCTGACTTGGGCATGTGATGATGTGTAACACAATCAACGTTTTTGTATGTAGGCACCCCTACCAGGGGCGGACTGACCATTTGGAAACTTGGGCACTGCCCAAGGGCCCGGGGTCAGTAGGGGGCCCCATGAGATGCCCCTGGTACCTTTTTCATAAGCTTTTTTGAGTTTGGCAAGGACACAGGGGCCCCATGATCCCCTATTGCCCGGGGGCCCCCTGAGTTGTCAGTCCGCCCCTGACCCCTACATTTCCATTTATGTTCATATACCCATTTACCAGGGAGTTGGGAAAGGTGCTTTAAATTTGGGGGAGGGGGGGTTAAGTGCTTGGGTGCAACTATCTGTGGACACAAGTACTATGCTTTTTAATTGCTTGCAGCCTGTTCTGTCTCTCCAATCTAAGCATTGACAGTGTGATCTCTGTAACTTACAGTTGTGATGAGATAGCAATAACTCCAATCTTAGTTGAATGACACAGGCAGTGACTCGATCAGATGACATCTTGTCAGGGGCGGACTGACAACTCATGGGGCCCCCGGGCAATAGGAGATCATGGGGCCCCTGTGTCCTCGCCCACACCCAAAAAAGCCCATGAAAAAAGCCAATGAAAGGTACCAGGGGCATCTCATGGGGCCCCTACTGACCTCGGACCCTCGGGCAGTGCCCGAGTGCTTTAATGGTCAGTCCGCCCACCTTGTAGATCTTGTGAAGTTTATTCCATAAACTGAGAGAATCTTACAACAATGAACATTTGATAGGTCAAAAGATCATAATGTGATCTGCTTCATGACATGAGGCTTGAAGCTGAAATGCATTACTGGGAAAGGGGAGGGCTATCTATACAGCATGAACTAAACCAAAGAAAAGGGGAGGAGCAGAGACAAAATACAAAAAACACTTAAAGACGTATGATAGTCATGTGAAACATGACACAGCCCCAGTACAAAAGAGCTTAGACTGGGGAGGAGAAGCACCACAAGAAGCCAATCAGTTATGTTGCAGTACAAGAATATGCTGATAGGAGGAGAGAGCATAGTGATAGAGGGATGAGCTCATCGGCCTGCTGCTTCTCCTTTCACTGTCTAGTCGCAGGCTGGGGAAAGGACCAAAGACTTGTAAGTGTTACTCAACTGTAGCAGGGAAAAATCAGGTCTTGTGCCCTGACTGACAGGCTGTGCTGTGTGACTGAGCTGTATAAATCAGAGAACTGGAAGGGCAGAAATGCAAACCCCCTGCTACGGTATGTGTACCATATTTCTCCTTTGTATTTAGCTGTTTGCCTGGAGTTCAGTTGTAAAACCTAATGCAGTTGTTATCCCTTAAAGTGTTACTAAACCCACAATAGTACAATCAATCTGTCTATGCAGTAAAGCATGCTTGTTATACTCACTGTGGAACCCAAGGGGTTAATCCTCTGCATTGTGTAAAAAAGCGGATTGATCCTCTCTTCTCTGTTCCTCTCCTTTTTCAAGTGACCAGCACTTATCTCCTGATAAGACAGACTTAACCGTAGCCATTCTGCACATGCTCAGTTTGGTGTGTATTGCTAGAGAGGTTTTTTTTTTTTTCTTGGGAGAGTGCATGTGATCAGCACTGTCCAGGTCAGGGGTTCTGCATCCTCCTAGAGCAGAAAGAAACTGCTCCTACAAGCTTTAGCTAGTGCTGGGCTGGACACTGATAGAAGTCACAAGACTGCTCTAAGTTCTGATGAGAAAATGTATTTAGCAGTTTATATTTACTAAAATAATTGCATTTCCATGTTGTGTATACTATGGGAGCCCAGATATAGTGAATGCAGGGTCCGGGGAGAGCGGATATAGTGAATGCAGGGTCCAGGGGAGACCAGATATAGTGAATGCAGGGTCCGGGGAGACCGGATACAGTGAATGCAGGGTCCTGGGAGACCAGATATAGTGAATGCAGGGTCCGGGGAGACCGGATATAGTGTATGCAGGGTCCGGGGGGAGAGCAGATATAGTGAATGCAGGGTCCGGGGAGACCAGATATAGTGAATGAAGGGTCCGGGGAGACCAGATATAGTGAATGCAGGGTCCGGGGAGACCAGATATAGTGAATGCAGGGTTCGGGGAGACCAGATATAGTGAATGCAGGGTCCTGGGAGACCGGATATAGTGAATGCAGGGTCCAGGGAGACCGGATATAGTGAATTCAGGGTCCGGGGAGAAGCAGATATGGTGGAATGCAGGGTCTGGGGAGAGCAGATATGGTAAATGCAGGGTCCGGGGAGAGCAGATATGGTGAATGCAGGGTCTGGGGAGTCCAGATATAGTGAATGCAGGGTCCGGGGAGACCAGATATAGTGAATGCCGTGTCGGGGGAGACCAGATATAGTGAATGCAGGGTCCGGGGGAGACCAGATATAGTGAATGCAGGGTCCGGGGAGACCAGTTATAGTGAATGCAGTGTTCTGGGGAGACCGGATATAGTGAATGCAGGGTCCGGGGAGACCAGATATAGTGAATGCAGTGTCCTGGGAGACCGGATATAGTGAATGCAGGGTCCGGGGAGAGCAGATATAGTGAATGCAGGGTCCGGGGAGAGCAGATATAGTGAGATGCAGGGTCCGGGGAGACGAGATATAGTGAATGCAGGGTCCGGGGAGACCAGACATATGAATGCAGGGTCCGGGGAGACCAGATATAGTGAATGCAGGGTCCGGGGTTTAGTAACACTTTAATATAACTGTTTTTAGACTCTTACCTGCTGAACGTTGTCAAAAGGTCAACAACCATCTGGTCTGTTGTATTGATGAGTTTTACACTGGACTGGCTGAAAGCCGCCATCCTCAGAACAATGAGGGGGGACCTTCTCCCCGACGTCATGCAGAATCCGCCGATCTCTAACGGCACATCTCTTCGGACCTGTGAAATCATGAAAAATTCAAACATTTACCTGTAGGCACAGTGGAGGTTTCAAATAACCTGGCTGTACGAGCCTAAAGAGATATGTTTAGTGGTTTTGGATTGTTATATAGTGATTATGGTTGAGACTTTAAAAATAAATTAGTAAAAATATTCTTATTTCTACTTTGGTAAATATGACACATTGCATTTAAATATTATGTAGTTGTCTCTCCATCCAGCAGGTGGCAGAATAGGCTCCACTGCACGTGTGATGCATTGTATCACTCTCAGTTGTTCAATGAATCATCACAACCATCTCCTTATCAGATGGCTCAGTCAGAGGTTTCTATCAGCGAAAGGAAGCCTCAAAGCAAGCTGCTCTCCTGTGCTTTCTCTATAGGGAAGCATTGATATCCCTAAACATTCCTGTGCCCCAGTGTCTTCTGTGCCTATAGCTTCATTCCCTCCGAGCCTCCCTGTGTTCTCCAGAGTACTTGTGTCTCCTCCATGGCTGCTTCCAGCCCTCAGGTACTCCATGCTGCCTCTTAGTTGTCAGTGTATGCAAGTACTTCTGCCCCTCCAAGTGCTCTCCTGTGTACCCCCAATGCCATCTAGTGACCCCAAGTGTGCCCCTGTGTCTATAAGTATGCTCAATGCACCCTATGTCCATCTAGTGTCTCTAAGAGCGCCCCCTGCACCCTGTGTCCATCTAGTTTCTCTAAGAGCACCCCTGTGCTCCATGTGTCCATCTAGTTTCTCTAAGAGCGCCCCTGTGCACCCTGTGTTCCATCTAGTGTCTCTAAGAGCGCCCCTGTGCACCCTGTGTCCATCTAGTGTCTCTAAGAGCGCCCCTGTGCACCCTGTGTCATCTAGTGTCTCTAAGAGCGCCCCTGTGCACCCTGTGTCCCATCTAGTTTCTCTAAGAGCGCCCCCTGTGCACCCTGTGTCCATCTAGTGTCTCTAAGAGCGCCCCTGTGCACCGTGACTCTAAGACATTCCCTGCACCCTGTGTCCATCAGTGTCTCCCTGGCGCCCCATGTCATCTGTGACCTGTGTCCATAACTAAATGCTCTCCAAGTGCTCCCCTGTGACACCCTGTGCACCACCTAGTGTATGAGTTCCCATGTACCCTGTGTCATCAGTGACTTCTAAGCCTACCCCTGAGCACATGTGCACCCTGTGTCCAATGCCATCTAGTGACCTCTAAGTGCGCCCCTGTGTCACAAGTATGCTCAATGCACCCTGTGTCCATCTAGTGTCTCTAAGAGCGCCCCTGTGCACCATGTGTCCATCTAGTGTCTCTAAGAGCGCCCCTGTGCACCCTGTGTCCATCTAGTGTCTCTAAGAGCGCCCCTGTGCACCATGTGTCCATCTAGTGTCTCTAAGAGCGCCCCTGTGCACCATGTGTCCATCTAGTGTCTCTAAGAGCACCCCTGTGCACCCTGTGACTCCAGACGTTCTCCTGTCTGTCCCGGGACTGCCTGGGCACCCCCATGTCATCTAGTGGCCTCAAATGTGACCGTATAACTCCAAATGCTCTCCTGTGTGCCCTTGTGACTCCTGTGCACCCCTTTTATGTATGCTCTATGCACTCCATGTCATCAGTGACTTCAAGCTTGCCCCTGAGCACACTGTGACTCAGAATGCTCGCCTGTGCGCCCAATATATGCCCCCAATGTGCCCCATGTCATCTAGTGTAAACCTGTGTGTGACCTGTGCCTCCATGCAGCCTCCAGTGACCTCCTAGATCATCCGGACATTCCTTCTTTCACTGGATACAGACCACTGTAATGACATTTGCTCTTCCATAGATTTGTTACTGTATTTATTGCAGTCTGTATATTAATATTTCAGGATGATGTCCTGTGCAGCAGGTATTTTAATCTACAGGTATACCTCGGTTTACGAATTTAATGCGTTCTCCGGGACGTTCGTATTGTGAAAAATTTGTAAACTGAAATGTGGTTTCCCATAGGAATGCATTGAAAACCAATTAATCCGTTCCGGAGGTCAGAAAAAAGTAAAAAAGTATTTTATCTGTTGAAAACTCTTTATAAAGTGCACTTTAAAGGCATAAATACTGTAAGGGACGTGATTAAAAATTAATTTGTAAATGCATTGAAAACCAAATAATCCGTTCCAGAGGTCAGAAAAAAGTAAAAAAAAAGTATTTTATCTGTTCAAAACTCTTTATAACGTGCACTTTAAAAAGGCATAAATACTGTACAGGGACATGATTTAAAAAAATTTGTAAATGCATCGAAAAACAATTAGTTACTGAGATCAGAAAAAAGTAAAAAAAAAAAAGTCTTATCTGTTCAAAACTCTTTATAAAGTGCACTTTAAAGGCACGGGGGCCGGCACTATAAACCTCCCAGGCGCTATGCATCCTGTGGAAACAAACTTCGTATTGCGAAAAAAAAAATTAATAAACCGAGGCATTATTTTCAATGGATTTTCATTCGTAAACTGAAAATTACGTTAACCAAGGCGTTCATAAACCGAGGTACGCCTGTATAATGAAAGTTCGTGGACATCTGACCCACCTATACAAAAGCATATGAAACCCCCTCTAAATTACTTTGTTTAGATGCAGGGCCATGGATAAGGGGGTACCACCAGTCCTCCTGTACGGGGCCCAGGCCAGAAGGGGGCCCAGGCAGCTGGGTGAATCAGATGTGGGCAGGGAGGGCGATTGGCACGGTAGGGGGGCAATTACTGGAAACCGATCCCCTGTATGGCTCTCTCTGCAGCAGCTGAAAGCTGGCTTCTTCTCCTCTCCCTCCCGCTGGCTTTTAATGCTGCACAGAGAGACATACAGGGGACCGGTTCAAGTAATTGTAATTGCCCCCTGCCGCGCCCATCACCCTCCCTGTGCACCATACATTTCCCCCTGCTGCCCAGGCTCCCCTGTGTGCCCCCCACAATGGGCTGCTGGTTTTCCTCTTCTTTCCACAGGTTCTGCAAGCACAATAGGATCCTTCAGAATGGAGAGTGGGGGAAGGGTCAGTAAATATGTCATGTTCTCTAGCTCCTTACTTTCCTTTTTTTGGGGGGGGGGGGGTTGCTGTCAGGTTGGCTGTATGGGGCCCGTGGTTTTCTGTTTAGGTGTTTCCAGTAAATGGTGTGGTTAATGCTGCAGAATACAACGGCGTTGTGGACAATTCTGGTCCCTTCAGCCTTGTGGTAGTACTTTGAGGAAAGCTCTTTTCTCTTCCAGCATGACTGGGCCCCTGTGCACAACTGCCAGCTCCATAAAGACATGGTTTGATGAGTTTGGTGTGGAGGGATTGAAATGGTCACACAGAGCCCTGACTTCAACTCTGATCTTTGGGGTTAATTGGAGCACCAACTACAAACCAGGTCTTCTCATCCAACTTCAGTCCCTGACCTCACAAATACTCTTCTGGCTGAAGGGGCACAAATTTCCACAGACATTGTCCAACTTCTTGTGGAAAGCTTCCATGGAAGAGTGGAGGCTGTTATAGGTACCAAGTGTGGGCAACTCTATATTAATGTCCATGGTCTTTGAATGGGATTGGGATGTCCAACAAACTTATATAGGGGTGATGGGTGTCAACAAACTGGCCATACATTTTATATTCCATCATGGAACCAATAACCTGTTTCTCCATATAAACAGTGGCTGCAGATAGATTACAAAGGCTTGTGCTAAACAAGTCAACAAGACAAGTAAATAACTTCCTATATACAGTATGTGTTTTTTGTATTTATAATTATTTAGCTGGAGTTTGCTGTCAAATGTAATTTATCAACAAGTTTCTAAAGGAGTACATTATGATATATGCTATATGTATTATAGTAAAACTCTCACACACTGTGTTGGTTGGCCAATTTGTCGCGTTCCGTAGATCTCCATCCCCTCGTTGTCCACACACCAGCACTCTCCGAGCTGCCGATCACATTGCACATCTTCGTATTCCCCGGAGTCTTTACATTGTGGGATATAGGAAGTTGAGCTGCTGTTTATATATCCATTGACCAAGATCTTCTGCTTTCTGAGTTGGCAAAAGGATAAGCCTATAGAAAGAAGTACTATGAGCATCTAGTTGGCATTACCCAAATCATAAATATAATCTTTTCCTGCTTGGAAAAATGGACATATCAAGAACCCGTACGCTCTGAAGGACAGAAGACTACGCAGCATTCTGTGTCTACGTTCACCACATATGATTTCTTAGAGAAGCCATTCTCAAACAAGGTTCCTCCAGAGGTTTCTAGGGGTTTTTGGAGCTGCAGCTGACTGACTTTCTATTTAGTAGTGCCTGGATAGTTACAGGGCCAACGCTACTTGGTGGAGTAGGCAGCATGATACCAGAGATCTTTTTAGCGGTCCGTTTATATTCAGACCACCACTTTTACAGGGCATTCAACCCACTGATAAGGAGGCATTTTTCCATTCACTCCCAATATAACGCGGCATTCTACCTACCGACCACTAAT